GCCCTATTCCTGGTTCTTTAAACAAACTTTATTAAACAAACTGGAAACATGGTCAAGCATGTCTTCTACTTCACTCTATCAAGGCCAGGTTGGACAAGGCCTTGGGTGATACGGTTTAGTGTGAGGTGTCCCTGCCCATGGCAGGGGGGATAGAACTTGATGATCTTAAGGTCCTTTCCAACCCTAACTATTCTATGATTCTAAGCATTGCAGCTATGGCTGGTATCACTGTTTCTCCATTAGTGCTCATTCATTTGCGTCTTTGTGTCAGTCTTCAAGCTCCAGCCATTCAAGAAACACATTTGCCAAACTGGTGAAATATAACTATTAAATGATGGTAGCCACCAATTCTATTGCTCCCCAAATACTTAACACTTTCCTGAGTCAATCCTGACAAACTCTCTATTTAGTTATATCTGTTTATTAAGTATCTCATGAGCTCAAAGTGACCATTTAGATATTACTCAGCAATGCAAACACAGCATCAACTAATACTTCACTTCCACCTTCCTCCTCCTCAGAATACCTCACTTGCATGGGCTTTTAAAATGAACTCAGAACAGTTGCAGTTTGAATCCCTTTCTCTAAGGAAAACAAAACATGTGAGAACATACATTGCTGTAATTTTATAGTCACACTCCACTAAAAATGCCATTCCAGACAAGAATGCAGTTTGAATTTTTCCATTTAAAAGTGGGCAGGGCCCATGGCTGATGTGGGCCTTAGGCAAAGCCAGAAAGCAGGGGGCTAATCTACACTGCAGAAGCTGTGTCACTTTGGCCACACTAACGATTCCTGACAGAGATGAGGCTCCTAACCAGAAAACCCAACTCTGTGCATGCTATTAAACCATTTCCTCGGCTTACATGCGTTGCACTAACACAAAGACAAATAATTATTGTTAGTGTTATTTGTTCCTCTGGTGTAAATGGCAGCTTAACCGCTAGCTGTTGATAAAGCTTTGTTTGCCGGCAATTCCCAGTTAACATACTGATACCAGAAACATTGTTTAGTCTACAGAATGGCAAAGACCTTTTTCTTCATTTTTTCACCTCATACACCCTACACAAACATGTTTCACGCACCATGGCTCTCCTGCACCTCCAGGACAGCCAGGCCTGCTCGCACAAGAATGTGAAAGCTCAGTTCCACTCGGGGCTGACCACTATCACAAGGGTACCCCAACAGTCTCCCCATGGCAGGGAGGCCAAGGTGAGGAAAGCAGAGCCCTTCCACAACAGCTGCTGTACCCTCGCATCCGCAGTTTTCCTGGGGTCACTTTTACGTGCTGCCAGTGTGGTGTGAAACACAAGCAAGATTCAGACTGTGTGTGTGAGAAACCCTAACAGGGAGGGAGGACACAGCCCTGGATGGAAAGGCTGGAGACTACCAGAGGTACAACAGTAACTGCCCTAGAGAGCAGCTACTGCAGCTGTTGCACTTCACCAACACAAATCAGAAGTGGAAGTGTTAGAAATGGCAGCTGAGCTAATAAAGCAGATTTACAGCACTGACACAAACTCATGTTCTATGACAGTTGCACCGAGGTGGAAGCAGTTCCCATTGCCTGGCACATTCAACTCCCAGATCCCCATAGCTCCAGAAGAGGCAGCAATGGTCCCGTGGGAGTGGGTCAGGGATGCTGCAAAGAGCTCTTCAGAACAGGGACTCTGCTCTCTTTTCTTTGAAAATGTGAGGAATTTGAAAACTCACTGAAATCTAAGCATTTTAAGGCTAATTATCATCACTAGAGCTGTTAAGGTTTTGACTATAATGATACAAGTATCTGCTGTACCAGTCCAGATTTCAACTGAACTCTACCATTAAAAGACATGCTCACAGGACTTGAGCCAGCCACTGCTCAAGTGAATTTTCACTCAGATTAGCAGACACTTTCATCATCCTATTAACACTTAAATAATCAGCAGTGTGCTCATTTACAATGCAAAATGTGATCTTACCAGACAAAACTCTGCCTTTAATCTGGGTACTCGCAGACCAAAGCGGAACCAAAAACTAAAGGACTGATGCTATCATCAACAACAGCACAACTGGGAAGGCTCTCAGGTATGTAGCACTATCTGAATCAGCCTGAACAGTCCTTTCAAGAAATCATAAAGGTAGGAAGGAAATCCTACACTAGTACTTGGGGAAAAAAATGAGCATATAAAAGCTAAAAGCACAATAATGCCACTTTATAAGACAAGAATAAACTTTGAATGCAATTTCAGTTGCAGGGATTGTAACTGTTTAAAATATACCTCAAAAGACAAAATAGAAGCAAAATTCTAGGTTCGTGTCTTGAGCTGAATGTCCAAAAGGAGTTTATCAACACTGATGACATCTCAGCTGCAGGCCAGTACTGAGGGTGTGAAGTTCAGAAGCATTAAACTCAACACAGCAATCTTCCTACAGCTTCCAGCAGGCCTTGTTTCAGAGAGAATACTTCTAAATTAAGAAATGCATTACTGCTGGATTAAAGTACTGTGGTCCAAATGAAGTTGCTTTAAAGCTGAATTATGAGCTATTAATTAAAAAAACATAACTAAATTGACTTTCCTCCAGTTTCAGAGGCAGCACAGAGGAGAATCCCACACAAATGCCAGCACAGAAGTACTTGAGTATAGTACGGAAGAGAAAAAACAGACCACAAAGCCTGGCAGGTACCTGCCAGAAACACACTGGTTTTCCTAAGTATCCCACTCAATTTAATTAAAAATTATATCACTTTCACCATCTTCCACAAGAATGAGACAAATCATCTGCTACTGACTTGAATTCAAGCGTCCATCCACTCTCTCTACTTTGCATTTAATCTGCAGGGCTGAAACACAAGGGACATGTAAAGTTCGCCAAGCAGGCTGGTTAAACACACTCCATCAGTTTTGGCCATGGACTCACACAGCAGGAGAGCTGCTAAGAAGGCAGCCCTTGTAGGTCAGCACACCCATCACAGGTACTCGAAGCAGATTCTACAGTCACAGGTCTGTCCAGGTGCTTCATTCAAAGTACTGCAACAGGCACAAACGACCAGCTTTCAGCTCCACCAGAATTAAAGTAAGCCGTTGGGTCTTGGGGTTGGTGGTTTCTTTAGGACCCAAGTAGTTAGTTTTCAGGGGCAGCTTAACTTGGATAAATAAATTAACATTCATGGGATATATAAACCAAACAGACTCAAGCTGTGTCTATCCAACCTTCCATTAACATCACTGGGAGATGGCAGTGAGACTCACATAAACTGGTCTAGTCCTTGATCAATTTAAATCCTGTACAAACAATACTTAGCCTGGGATGGCTGCAACCCTGTTGATCTATGAACCAAACAAGAAACCACTCATCCTCCTCCTGCCAGCACACTTGCTATCAAGGCCCTAAATTACCGGAGTTTGAGCCTTTTTTCCATAGAACATCTTATTTAACAACTGTGGAAACATCATCCCAGCTACAGTTAGCAACCTCAAATGTTGCTTAGATAAGGACCTTTGCAAAGGTAATAACCATCTCAGCCTAACCCAAATCATTGGCACTGTAGCCTATGCTGTTCCTAAGGAAGCACAGAAGGCATGCTTGAGGACAGCAGGAGCAGGCCCCATGCGCAGCAGTGCAAAAGATGCCTCTTCATTCCAAGCCAAGTATCTCCCCAGAACACAGTTTCTCTCTGAAAACAGTCTGGTCCGCTCCACCACTCCAGGCCATACCCAGACTGAGTCTGTGATGTAGAGGAATCACCCCAAGCCTAGCGCAGAGCTCACCCTTCCACTTCTGGGACTTCCTTGCCGGCCTCTCGCAGAAGACAGCCTCCCTGCTCCACACCAACAACTCTGACTTTTGAAAGACTGACAGTTTGTCATGTATCATGGTGTCCATTGGTGCACAAGCACCCGTGAATTCCACAGCACACCTTGACTTTGGGTCCTTGAGGCCTGGCTACAGCTGCATTCCCAAACTGTGCCTGAACCCAATGCTGCACAAAGCTGCAGCTGTGATATTTACGGAAGGCTGCTACACCCCTGCCTGACAGAGCCAAGCTAAAAACACTCGTTTCAAATCATGAGTCCACCTGAACAGACAAAAGCAATCCCAACCTTCCCACTTTTGCACTCCGAGTCACTCTTTTGACAAGCGAACTTGTAACCAACCTCTCATCTGACAGCTCAACCACAACAGCCGGGGCAGTTTTATCGGGCCCAGGCCCTGAAGCCCCCACCTCCCCTTGGCCTAAGCACCCACCGAGGACCTGCACTTGAGATGACAAAAGCGAGAAGCCGCGGATAAAACCGGAGCGGAGTTCGTGCCCGAGAGCCCCCGGACATCGCACCCCCGGCTCCACGCCCTCAGCCGGTTCTTCCCCGCTAGCTCCAGGGAAGGGGAAACACACATCACTCTTCACCGGGACAGCGAGGGGAGAACCGGAGGACACACACTCCCGCCGCCCCGCCCGGCAGTAACCACCCACCCGGTGCCCACCGGCGTCGCGGCCGGGTGCCCCCGGGCACGCTGGCGGCGGGCAGCCTCTACCGCCGCGGCGAGGCCGGCAGGGCGCCGGGAAGGCATCGGCGGCGGCGGCAGCGAGAACAGCACAGCGCCGCCGCGGCCCCGCACGCTGCCACGGTCCCGAGCCAGGCCCGCCGGTAAGCCGGCCCGGCCCGTTATTCCGCAGCCCGGGCAGCAGAGGGGCGCTGGCAGCAGCAGAGCCGCCTCCGCCGCACTCGAGCGGCGCAGAGTAGGGGGAGCCGCACCGGCCCCCACCCCCGGGAGTTTTAAAGGGGCAGCGCCCCGGAGCGGCAGCAGTCCCGGAGGTGCCCGGCAGGGAGGCGGCGAAGGGGCCGGTCCCGCCGGTGCGGCCCGCGCGGCTGTCGGGGGAGGGAGGGGCGGTCGGGGGCTGGGTGTCTCCTGCTGCTGCTGCTGCTGCCGCCACAGCGCTCGCCGCCTCCCCTCCCCCCCGGCGGGGGCTCCTCGCTGCAGCCTCTGTGCTCCGCTCTCGGTCATGTGACCCTAACGTAACCGGACAGGAAAAGCCGCCGCCGCCGCCGCCGCGCTGACTCCGTTGTTGCTGCTGCTGCTGGGCGCGGAGACGGCGGCGGCCCGAGCGACACGAGGCGCCTCGGCGGTCCGCGCCCTTCAGGTGAGCACCGGCCGCGCCGTGCCTCGCTGGGGGATCCCGGCGCCGCCCGCACGTGCGCCCAGCCCCGCCGCACCGGCCGCGGCCCGCGCTGAGGCGGCGGCGGGCGCGGCGGGGCCTGCTCGGCCCTACCTCCTCATTGTGTGCGAGGGGCGGCGGGTGCGGGGTCCGGCCACGCCGCGGCGGGCCGAGGGGAGAGCGGAGGCGGCGGAGGACCGCGCCTGGCGCCGCCGGGGCTGCCTGCCCTGCTGACAAGCCCCCGCCGGGCCGGGCCGGGCGGCTCCATCCGGGACACAGCCCGGGGGGGTGGGGGCAGTATGGGCCCGCGCTGAGGGGAGAGGAGGGCCGGGGATTTGAGGGGGGGAAGGGAAAGACAGAAGGGATGGGGTAGGAAAGGAGGGGGTGTCGCCCGGCCCGGTCGGTTGGGGCCCGCGCGGCCTCCCGCCCGCAGCGGGGCGGCCCCCCCGTCCGGCGGCATCCGGCGCAGGGGCGGGCGGGGCGGCGCGGAGGGGGCGGCCCCGCCTGTCTGTCCCCGGCAGGCTGGGCGGCCCTCCCGGCGGCGGCGGCAGCAGCGGCGGTTCCCGTCTCGCGCGCCCTGGCGGCTTCTCTCGCGCTGCGTCTCGCGCTGTCTCCGTCCGTCCGTGCGCGCGTGGCGTGCGCGGGGGGTGGGGACGGGGGGGGGAAGGCGGGCAGAGAGCGAGGGGAGGAGGGGCGGGCGCAGCCAGTGAGAGCGGCGCGCGGGCACCCGGCCTTCCGCCCCGGCGGCCAATGGGAGGGCTCCGTCACCTCTGCCACTGAGGCCGAGCGTGACTCCGGGGACGAGAGGGGCGGGGGAGCGGGCGGGCTCATGGCCACGCCCCCGCCGCGCGCTACGGCGCCGGCAGGCGGCGGGAGCTCCCGAGCGCCGCGCTCGCCTCCTGCTCCTCGCTGCCGGCGCGCGCGCGCGCGGTCCCGCCGCGGCGGGCGCGGCTGCTTCGTGCCCCAGCGCGGGTCTCCGCCCGGGGTTGGTAGCGCAGCTCGCCGAGTACCGAGCGGCTGCCCTTGTCCCGGAGGAGCAGGCACTGCCGGGCGGTGGGGCGCTTTCGTGAGCGGCCGCGGCTGGTGCCCTCAGCCGCTGAAGCGGAAGGGACGCCGGGCGCTCGGTGGGAGGTGTGCGAGTGGATATCGGAAAGCTGCGGGCCGGGTAGCACCGGGCCAGCAGGTGTTTGCTGCGCTCCGGCCCCGGTGCTCCCCTCTTTCCCCGGCGGCCGCAGCGCTGTTCTCCCGGGCCTGCCTCGCCCCTTCTGCGGGGCGGCACCGGCGCTTTCTTCGTTTCGTCCTTGAACCGTGCCCACCGCTTTTCCCCCCGTTTCTCCGAAATAAACGCAGCTTTCAGACAGGGCTCGGCCTCGCGTGGTTTTTCACCTGCCGTCGAGCGAGCTGGGTGATGTGAAAAGTGACAAGGCTGAGCCGGCCCGCATGTCAGCCGTGCGGCCTGAAGGGCTGTTCCCAAGCCATTTCGGGGCACAAGAAGTATGTTAGGCAGCTCTTGAACCTATCAACACTAAAGCAGAATGTGCTGATGTTGATCACTGTTGTTTTTTTTAGCTAAGGGTAAAACTGAACACACACACACATACCTAGAATCACAGAATGGTTTGGGTTGGACGGGATCTTAAAAGATCATCTAGTTCCAACCCCATCTTGTTTCAATGGGCAGGGAAACCTTCCGCTACACCAGGTTGCTCCAAGCCCCATCCAACCTGGCCTTGAACACTTTCAGGTATGGGGCAGCCTCAGCTTCTCTGGGCAACCTCTGCCAGCACATCACCACCCTCATAGGGAAGAACTTTTTCCTAATGTCTAATCTAAATCTCCCCTCTGACAGCTTAAAGCCATTACCTTTTGTCTTGCCCCTCCAGGCCCTTATAAAAAGTCCCTCTCCAGATTTATGTAGGCCCCCCTTCAGGTATTAGAAGACTGCTATATAATGTACAGAGTGCTTTCCTTATTCTTTTCCTCTGCTGTGTAATCCTTCTAGTGCTTTTGGTTCAAAGCATTTAAATATCTTTTGAATATACACAAAAACTTAGTGTTGTGCCTGCACATGAACCGTGTCATTTCATGCAAAGAGATTAATTCAGGTCTCTGACAAAACACAACAGCTTCGAGTGCCACAGTGACTGCTGTCACTATGAGCAAAACAAACTCAAGGTGATAGTAACTAAAAAAAAATGCCTTTCTGGCTTGGAGTTCCCTCCCACTGATGGTTTGCTCTGCCTGACAAATTTTGCTGTCCAAGTACAAACTGGACTTAGCACTGATGAATTAAAATACGTGGCAAGCAGAACAATCTAAATTATAGCTAAAAAAAACCACAAACAAAACAAACAAAAAAGACAGAAGAAGGTGTGTTTTCCGTAGCATGGCAAAGTCTACCTGCATGGAGCATTTTGCAGGATTAAATAATGATTAATAGGGTTTTAGCTACTGCTGATAGTGTTACCCCTTTTGGAAAGGAGAGGATTACTGTCTGTACAAACATGCAGTAACTTAGGGAGGAGAGGATGGACCTGAAGAGAACTGAAACTTGATTTTTTTAGGTATTTTTTTTTTAGTGTAAGAAAATAATCAACTGTATCTTAAATTGTATTTCTTTGCCCTTTCACCCCTGACTTAAGCAAGTTCTGATCTCTTGTGAATGCAAAGGAATGCACTTGGTCAGCCTGGTTGCTGGTCTAAATAAGAACGCATTCTTCACTGTCCAGTAAGTAGAAATACTTGTTTTTTTCAATGATAAATGTATTGGTAACACATGGAATACACTTTTGTTCCCTGTCCCAAAATAGCCACACTCTGGTTTTCACTGAATTTACACTGTATGTATGTTCTATTATATAAGTATTTACTGTGTGTCTTACTGAAATGAATTCTTTGTACCTTACCTAACATTTCAGTAACTTCCTATTACATTTGGAGGAGAGGGGAAACAACAAACAAGACTATTCCATTCTTGGCAGTGTTCAAGGCCAGGTTGGACAGGGCCTTGGGTGATAGGGTTTAGTGTGAGGTGTCCCTGCCCACAGCAGGGGCTTGGAACTAGAGGATCTTAAGGTCCTTTCCAACCGAAACCATTCTGTGATAAATTTACATTTTGAGCCACATTTACTTTTGAGCCACTTCCCCTAGTTTTACCTTCTCTTTCTTTTCTTTTCATAGAGCATCTGCACTGACATGGCTCTATGCTCTATAAAAAGAAAAGAAAGAGAAAATAACAGATACACAGAGACACTGAAAATTGAGGTTAAAAGTATCTAAACTTGTCTTTTAGTGGATTCTGCTTCTGTCTCTTCCACACAGTTAGGTGAACATAGCTGATACCAGAAGGGAGATTTATTTTTCCTGTTTGAACAGTCAAGTAATAATCAAATACTTTGTCCTTCCCATTACAAATAGTTGTTTTAACTACTTAACGTTTCTTCCTCTCTTTCAGCTACTTGTAGTTCTGTATCCAAGCCCCCACATACCTTTTCAGCACTCTTTAGTCCTGGCTCTTCTTTGCTCTTTAAGCCTCGGCAAACTGCTTGCACCTTTGTGAATCACACTGGTCAGAATGAAACCTGCCTGCGTGTATGATATCATTTATACAGTAGCTTGGGATAGAGCATGACATACGGATATTAGCAGAAAATACCTGTTAAGGGACAGCTACTGTTGCATCTGTGCATCTGCTGGTTTTACATGGAAGTCATTTGCTTTTCAGAGTGAAAAAAAATGGATCTGGCCAACCATGGACTTATTCTGCTGCAGCAGCTAAATGCTCAGAGAGAGTTTGGTTTCCTGTGTGACTGCACAGTGGCCATTGGTGATGTCTACTTCAAGGCACACAAATCGGTCCTTGCCTCTTTCTCCAACTACTTCAAGATGTTGTTTGTTCATCAAACCAGGTAACTGTAAAAAGGTTCACTGTTCAAAGGGTGTTAAGTTAGCTAAGCTAAGGAGGTCTAACAGCATTTTCAAACCTAAAAATATTCTTTTTGCTTCTTGCAATGACATGAGGAATAGGGAATCCAGACTTATCTGCAAAATAGAATCTCACTTTAAAATGTGTTAAACTGTGATACATTAACACTACTGTTACAGTTTAGCACAAGTTCTTTATCCTTAAAAAAAACCCCCTAGAATTCCTAGAATTTAAAGGATCTTGTCTTCAGTCTTACACTTTCATTCCCCCACTCTCTATCCTCTAGTCTGTCTTGGCACTATTCTTGGCATTTCTGTAACGAAAGCGTAAGACTGTTTTAAAGATTATTTGGTCTTTTTCACAAATATTTGAACTATCTCAAAAAGTTTGAGTGAAACTCTTAACTCTTTTGCTTGGTAACCTACTGTGGATAAGAGTATTCGGACCACAGCATGGAGTCATGACCATTCCTGAATTTCTGTCCTTTCCTTAATGTTTGTGTAATACAAGAGCTGCAAATAACTCTGAAAACCAGCAAGAATCCCAGCTCCTCTCTTGTTAGTCAAGTGGCCTAATCAAGGTGTTCCTGATCTTCTTTCTTCTGTGAACCTTGCCTCTCTTTCTGCACAGAGATCCAGCTTCAGCTGGAGGGATGGTGGGTGTTTCAAAAGGTTGATGCACAGGGAATGCTCTCAGCTGGAGGATGTTGGTGCTTTCAGTCCTGTTAGGCTGCCATGGCAGCCAAAGCATCTCCCTTTGCTGAGCACTGTAACCAGGAGACTGTAACCTGACCAGGTGTACCAATGGTGCTGCCATTTCTTCTTCCCTGATCAAGGGAAGAAGCTACTGTTCTGCTTTGCAAGGAGTGTGGCATCCACAGGTTGGATGTGCTCAGGCTGTACCTACTGCACCGGATCCTCAGGGGATTCACATCCTGTTCTGTGTGGCTTCTGGATCATAATGCAGTTGAGACAAGGTGATACACGCATTTGCAGAACTCTAACTGTAAACACTTAGTAAGACATAGAAGCCAAACAGGCAAGTTTTAGGTGTTTCCAGGGCTAAGTACTGAAAAAAGCTTAGTAGATTGTGAATTCAGGGTCCAGTGCTAGCAGATTTTAATTTAGCTAGTGATGCATTTGAATCCAACTAAAATAAGGAGAAAAATATCATCACAATTTACAAAATATGTTAACGTGTGGCAACAAATCTGTAATACAACAGCAATTTAGAAAGGAGCAAACTGCAATGGGGCAGCTTTGCCTTTCAAGCCAATTGCTCTTCTGAGGAAAAAAAAAGTCATCTTTCAAGTGGCCAGTAAGATGAGCTTTTTTACATTAAAGCATTTCTCTGTATTTATAGCAGCTTCTGCCTTTTGAATTCAAGTAGATGTCTCTGATTTTTACCAATGCTGGAATAACCTAGATCTGGTTAAAAAAAAAAAGTTTTTCTTATCTCCTATTGATCATTCTGTTTCTCCCTTCAGTGAATGTGTCCGCTTGAAAGCAACTGACATACAGCCAGATATCTTCAGTTATCTCTTGCATTTGATGTACACGGGGAAGATGGCACCGCAACTTATTGACCCAGTTCGACTAGAACAGGGAATAAAGTTTCTGCATGCATATCCACTAATTCAAGAGGCCAGCCTTGCAAGTCAGGGAACTTTTTCTCACCCGGATCAAGTTTTTCCATTAGCATCTTCATTATATGGCATTCAGATTGCAGATCACCAGATAAGACATCCCACTAAAGTTTCATCAGCGACTGACAAACTCGGGCGAGAACCAAGGCCACAGACGTCGCGAATGAATCAGGAGCAGGTTTCTGAAGGCTCACAGCTCTCGCAGTTAGCTACAAATCTGCCACAAGTGAACCGGACAAATATGTCTGCTTCCGACCCGTTGCCATCTTCTTTATCTCCAGAATTGGTGTCTGCTGCTGGTAATAATTCACCTTCAGGTGAAGAGGCCAACATGGAAGCATCTTCTTCAGATGAGCAGCCTGCCTCACTCACAATAGCACATGTCAAGCCAAGCATTATGAAAAGGAACGGAAGCTTCCCAAAATACTATGCCTGCCATCTCTGTGGCCGCCGGTTTAATCTGCGAAGTAGTTTGCGTGAGCACCTGCAGATTCACACAGGAGTTCCCTTCACATCTAACCAGCAGGGAGAAAGTAATATGTCTTTGTCTCTCTGTAATAACACAGGTGATAAAGATGCTGTGGAAGTGCCTGAAGCAGGGATGATCAGTGACAGTGAGCTGCAGCAGATCTCAGACTCCCCAATAATTGATGGGCAGCAGCAGTCAGAGACACCGCCCCCCTCTGATATTGCAGACATAGACAACTTGGAGCAGGCAGATCAAGAGAGGGAAGTAAAAAGACGGAAATACGAATGTTCCATTTGTGGTCGCAAATTTATTCAGAAAAGCCACTGGAGGGAGCACATGTACATACACACTGGCAAGCCCTTCAAATGCAGCACTTGTGACAAAAGCTTTTGTAGGGCTAACCAGGCTGCCAGACACGTGTGCCTAAACCAGAGCATGGACACGTACACCATGGTGGACAAACAGACTCTGGAACTCTGTACTTTTGAGGAAGGCAGTCAAATGGACAACATGCTAGTACAGACCAACAAGCCCTACAAATGTAACTTGTGTGACAAAACATTTTCCACTCCCAATGAAGTAGTCAAACATTCGTGCCAAAATCAAAACTCTGTCTTTACACTAGAAGAAGATCGCTCCATTCTGCTAGGTGGTGGGGACACAGAAGCTACAGAGACTGATAATGCAGTGTTAGCCTCCATCAAAAAGGAGCAGGAAGCAGTGTTGTTAGACTGAATGTGAAACCTATATCAATTTTTTAAAGTTTCTTATTTTTTATTAAATCAATCTTTTCCTCCCTCCACCTCTTACCTCACGTACCCCTGCCATCTTTTCCACCAGCCTCCTTCCCACCCTTTGTCTTCAGCAATGAGAACTGTACTGGCACATTAGGAAATTGGACTTGCCTCTCCCACCAAAACAAGAAAAAAGCTATTGTGTCAAACCACAACATAATTGATTTTAATACAAAGGAATGTGTGAAAAAATAATCCAGCTAACTATGCTGATAGTATTAGTTAATCCGAATTTAATAGATTTTAAACAAAATTTAGATTGCTTAAAAGTGTATTTAGATACAATGATGAGCATAATGAGAAATGAGTATCAGTTTGGTAAACAAAGAAAAAAAGATACATTTATGTTAGTTTCCCTGGTAAAAGGCATTTTGACAAGATCTGGCAGATTAAAACACCATGCTTTTTAGAAGACCATGTGCAAGTTGGTTACGGTTATAACTTAAAACCCTCAGAACTTTTCTCAGTGAATGTAAAAATGTCTGTTCATCGAGTTAAAAAGAGGTGATGGTGTTGGGTTTCTATTACCCATGTTTTCCTTCGAGTATGCCTTTGGGTATCTGTTTCAGATAGCATCATTGAGTCAAACAAAGTACTTACTTGGTCAAATTTTGACTTAAGTAGCTATAATAATAATGTGATGGCAATCTTTATATATATATATAAATACTGTATATGTATAAAGATTTATATATATATATATAGAAAGTGTGTGTATATTGGGTACAGGCAAATAAACACACATGTCCTTTTTAAGTAACTGGCCCTCTAATCTCAGATTCAGCCCAGAATGTCTTTTAGTTGTTTGTCAAAACTAGTCATGGCACGGTTATTTTTAATCAAATGTAAAGCATTCCAAGCTGTCTGTTGAGGAGAAGCTAATAGGTAACTGAGGTCACCCAAGCTACAAAGGAAACTAGAGAATTCCATACTGGTGAGCATAGTGCCATTGTTAGTGCGGCACAAGTATGGATTGTTAGCTGTAGGTTTTGGTCATTCTGGATGGATGGAGGGAGACAAGCTTTTTACCCAGGCAAGGAATGTCCACAATTTCATTTGGTTTAATGGCATGAGTTAAGAGGAAAAAGTGGTGCAGAGACATTGTAGTAGTAGGGGATCATGGTTATTTTAAAGTGAATCTGTAGTGCTGGCAAATTTTGCTTTGTGAGCAACCCATTATTTTCAAAGCCAAGACAAAGTCTGCAAAACCTGAAAGGGTGAATTCTGTAGTTTTAGTTACTGCTAATGGTAGCACTGCATCTTTGTGTTCAAAATCAAGTTGTTGATTCTTACTATTTTATACAGATGCCCAGACTTCTTGCTGGTAGTCTAAAACCCTAAACTGACAGCAGCAATGAAGCCCACGGAGCAATTACTGGGCCAATAGAAGGCATAAGCAGACAGAATAAATGCCCCATCGTAAATGGAGACGGTGTGTGGTTTTGGGGAGGGGTGGGAGGGCAAGTCACAAACTACAGCTCTTCTCTGCATATACATTTAAACTGAGTATCATCTTTTTGTGTATAGTTAAGTTCTCAGATTTGTAAGTTTTTATACATCATTTCATTGAATAAAAACTGAATTAAATGGGATATGATTTATTTAGTTGAAGGTGAAAGGTTGTTGGCTTTCAATCTTTCTGAAAGAGCTCCTACAGAATTGGTTTAAAACCTGAGCAATATATTCTGTTTATCAGACTGAAACCTGAATCATACATATGAAAAAATAGCTTACTGAAAGTTAAAGCAGTGGATTTAGGAAAAAAAAAAACAACTGCATACTTATTTTTTCCCATTTTACTATGTGACAATTATTGTAAGTGGTGTTGAGCTTATTATTTGTTGTATTACAGTAATAATTTAAAATCAATTTATTTTAAAGTATGAAAGTGTTTTGAGGTAAAAAGAAATCACATCTTACACAATTATTTTAGTGTTGCCCATTTTAAAACTGGTTTAGGATCTTCATCTACCAGTATAATTTCTTTAGAAGTTTTTAATTTCATCTCACTTAGCCTGAAATTCTTTCATAGTAGGAAACCGAAAGAACACATCTTTCCTGATTCAGGGTAAGGTTGGCTTTTGAGGTAGCTGTGGTTTAGGGGACAGTCACAAGTTCATTTCCAAAATGACTACAACTGCCAAAGGTGCTGCTGCCTCATCTGCCAGCTACTGCTTAGTCAGATGCTCATGTTTTTACAGAGCTCCAGCTCTGCTCCAGTGCAGAGTACAACAGCTCAAAGCCCCAGGTAGCTGGCTGTATCAGAAGGGGACACATGGATGGCCACACCATTTTTTGTGAGACATTCAGTAGCACCAGGTTTACCTTATTCCTACTCTCACCTCTCCTTCTCCACTGTTTGGAGAACATGCTGAATGGGCTCAAGTGTTGAAAAACAACCAGTATTTAAAAGTGCTATTTTTCTGTAAAATCTGTTCCCCGTTTCAGCTCTGCAGAGGGTTTTAAGCAACTCATGGATTGCGCAAGGGCAGAAACAAGCAGGGAGGAGGGAGGAGGCTTACTGGAGAGCGTTGCTGCTGGCAAAATCCAGGCTGAAGAGGGTGGGAAGTGGTGACTCTCACATGGGTAGACCCCCATCTGCTGGCCAGCATAGCCTCCCAGCTGCTGAGGGAATGGGCAGTGTAGAGCAGGACACAGACAGGGAAGAAGTTGGTTATGGCAGCACTGCTATGGCCAGAAGCATGAAACTGCAGGCCCAGAAAAAATACTTTCAACTGTTCATATTTATTCTTAAGAAATAACACTGTTAGGTAAAGAGAAAAAAAAAAGTCATAATAAAGAGATTATTTTTATATGTGTTCATCTATGATAATGTTTTATTTTAAATACCTGTTATTGTCTGATGTTCCAGAGTAATGTTTAAATCATTGCCTTTCCCTGCTCGAGCAGTTTTGTTCCTCTAGAATGAATCAGGAACAGTATGTTATGGTTATTAACAGCTGCATCAAGAAGAGTTTTGTTCAAGATTCTTCATTAAATCCTGCCTGAATTATTATTACAGTTAAAGATAACTTTAGGTTTTAACTTTAAACTTCTGACACAGAAATTTGTGACCCAGTTGCTCATTACTCAGTCAATATGCTCACCTCCTGAAGTTGTGAATTTTCTACTAAAGAAGACAGCTTTGCAGGAGCTACTGACTAACCAGTGAAAATCAGCCATCGTTCAAGGCTGACACACTAGCAGTGGTGATAAATCCTGGCTGTTCAAAAAGCCTAGCTGTTGTCCTACCTGAGCTTGTATGTTTCCATTTCTACAGTTCAATCTTATTCCTTGATATGCATTTTAAATCTGCATTCTTGCACAAATTTAAAAAAAAAAGAGTCATTTTGAGGCATACAGACGACATCTTTGGCAATACTAACAGTGGAAAGAGACCCAGGGCAAGTTCTGATTTGCGTGTAAGAACTGCAAAATAACCTTCAGAGAAACCTCACTCCTGTTCACCGAGTTTATTAAAGTTCAGTTTCCCTGCCCTGCTTACCATTTTCCAGTAAAGCTGCGGTACCATCTGCATTTACGAACCCCCTACCGCGGGTATGCCTTGAAGGGTCACCGCTCTCTCACACGCGAGGCCTGTGTAACAAATACGTTCCCTCTCCCCACAACATCCCTCAGAAGCACCAACCGGCCCAACGCCTCAGCCCTCCGGGTTCACCCCAAGTAAAGGGGCACTAAGGCGGCGTGTCCCACCGCACGGCACTGCCCTCCCGAAGGCAGGGCAGAGTAGCGAGAACCGCTGCCGGGGACCGCGGGGCGGGAAGGCGGAGGTTAACACTCACGGCTCATCGGCGCTTGGTCCTTGACAGGCCGGAAAGGGGCGTAGAGCCGGCACTACAACTGCGGAGATCGGGTAGGGCAAGGCTGTGGGAAGCAGTAACGGCCGGCAGCACGCATGCGCAGGGCGGCTGTTGGCCGGTGGCGGTTATCCGCGTCCTCCTCAGGCTGCTGTACGCTCCCCCCCCACCCTCCTGCCGGGTCACAGCTGGTGTGAGCGGAAGGACAGGGCGTCCTGGTGCTGGGTGCCTGAGGGGCGGAGTGGGCTCCTTCCGCCCGATACCCTCTGCCGGCGTGGAGTAGCGGGAATTGGATCCTCGCAGTTGGTTTAGTCCTGAAAACTGACGGACTGGGGAAGTCTGTTACCTTTCCCACGGGCCAGGGTGATACTGAGGCCTGGGGAGTCTCCCTGAGTAAATGTGTGTCTTGGAGCAAAGGGCCACCAGTGTCTGGCTGAAATCTGTAATGAGCTCGTATCTGTGTGCAGAGCTATGCTATGAGAGCTGACCTGCAGTGAAAGCAGCTCACGCTAAACAGGCAGTCGGAAAGACAGCTAGGCAGTTACTCAGGAAGCAGCCACCTAAACTCTAAAATTGTGGCCGTGCCCCTAAGGACAACACCTTTCCTGTTCTGGGGTGGAGTTTGGGGTTGTTTTGGGTTGGTGTGTTTGGCTTTAACATTCTATTTCCTCTTAAGAGAGTGGGAACATTCAAGGCACAGAAGTAGCACTGAGGTGTTTTACATTTCGTAGCATAGTTTGGGTTGGAAGGGACCTCCAAAGCTCCAAACTCCCCTGCAACGAGCAGGGACACCTTCAACTAGATCAGGTTGCTCAGAACAACATCCAGCCTGGCTGTGAATGTCTCCAGGGATGGTGCATCTGCCCCGTTTCTGGGCAGCCTGTTGCAGTGTTTTACCATGAGAAGTCACCTAGTGTTGCAACACCATATAAAACATTTTCCTGCCTCTGATACTCCTGCAAGTGAGTGTGAGGTGACAGCTTCCTCTGCGCCTGGCCATGCCCTACAGAGTGCATACAGGAGCTGAGGTTTTTGCATGGTGAGAGGAAGCAACTGCAGCTGCTGCTGCCAAGAGGATTTATTTGCTCTGGCAAGTAGCTGCTGGTAGCAGCACTCGCAGTACCACTCCTTAGTGGTGGCTGTTATGTGGGAAATGAGCACATTTATTTCCTATTGCTGTCAAGGAATTACATTAAACATGGTTATAGGAAACGAGAAATAGGGATATGATACCACTGGCGCTTAGCACTGATGTCTCTGCCACTGAGCATAAAGGGGAGAGGTCATTTGCAAAAGAGTAACACTCTGAGCTTCACACGATCTTCTGGGTAGCCTTGAATTGTTCTGACTAAAGGAAAGCTGGTGGGTTTTAAGACCCACTAGCTTGCAAGCACTGTAGAGGGGGGCAGTTCCTCAGTTTAAGACCTACTAGCTAAGTGGCAAAGTCATTCTTCAGTGTCTGCTCTCCAAGGGAGTTTGTTGGTATCATCCTGCAGTAACAAATGTATTAAGATTACACAGGTGAGTTGCTCCAGCTACTCAGAAACCCAGGAGAAACTCCAGGGTATAACTGGAGCAATTCAAGTTCGGTCTAGGAATGGCCAGCCTCTCCAGGTGAGAGGGACATTTGTGGCAAAGGCTTATGCTGCAGCCAGCCACACTGGCCCTGTCAAGAAGGCCACAACCCCAGTGCTCCCTGAGACTGCTGTTTTGATGTAGGCAATGCCACAATCCAGCTCAAGTCATCTACACATGACTGAGGGACCACACTCTACCCACCCAATGGGTTTTTCACCTTGCGCCAGGCCTGGGGATTTTGGACAAGGCTCCAAAAGGGGAAGGCTGCAAAAAGTCTGTATAATAACTGGTGGAGAGTGAGAGCAGAGAACACTGTTGAGCTGGAATGACAACAAGCAAGTGTTTCAAGCATGGAAGCACTAAAGAGAATGTGGTTTTCTCCCCTTCTTTCTTGGTCTTGTCTTCCCTCATCTCAGCTTTAGTTTTCCCGTTTGCCTGAGAGCATGTGCAGGAGATGCTACCGTTTCTGTCCCCATCTCTCATAGGAAAGGGGAGAAGGAGGCAGGGGACCCCGTGCTACCCCAGGTGAGGGGAGTGGGTTGAGATATCTGCTGGTACCTTGGGTCAGTTGTGCACACCTTTGCATGGAACACACGTGTAGCCACACTGAGCATTAAAGGCATTGCTTTTCAATGACCATGACAAAGATATGAAGTCTTTCAAAAGACTCCAAAAAAGCAAGCCTCATTGATAAAGCTCCTGGTTCTGCCACAGCCTTACCAGGTTTTCTCCAAGACTGGCATCTCTCCAAATCACATGTGAATGCTTTACACATCTGACAGAAAGAAGACAATTAGAAATGCTTTATTAATGACTAGTTACTCTCTCAAGACCACCTTATTTTGCCAAGCAGTTTTCAGAGGTGGAGGTAAAGAAGGTCTCAAGTTAAGCAGGGGTAGTAAAATAGTCTAGGGAGAGACTTTACCTGTCATCTTTTCTGATTCAAATTTCATTGAAGTACAAAACACTTTGGGAGCAAGACACTCCATGAAAAACAGCACTCATACTCTTATGGCTTTTCAGAGCTTTACTAGAGGGGGAAGTGTATTTGACTTCATGATGACCCACTTCCCAGTCTCACACTCTTCCCGGAAAGGCATAATCTCTGGTTCCCTATTCAAAACCAGTTTGTTGGGGGTTTTTTTAATAACTTTATAATAGTAGTCTTATTGTTATATATGACTGCACTCTTACACAAACTTCTG